AAATTCACATAATACACACATGTATGTATAAATGTATGTAAATATATACATATGAGACCCATTTTGCACCACACAAGGTGCCATGTGCTTGTACAACATATGTTCTTTGTTCTGTCAGAGTTTATAACTTACTGTTTTCATTATCTATTAGGCTGATTCTATACTTTCATTCTCACTGTTGACCTCCTTTTTCTCTACTCTGTTTTTTAATTAGGTAGAAACTGTGTAAATGCATTATTTTCTAATAATTTTGTTAAAAAAGAAAATTTCAAATTTTCTAATAAACATTTTTATTTTCCAATAAATCCTTAAATTTTAAATTCTGGTAACTTGTGTACTTAAGATCTTGGTACATTAGCTGACAATTCTTTAGAATGAACTGTACAAAGATATTGGTAAATTAACACTGATCATTTGGTTTAAAACATATTTAGGTTGTTATGACAAAAATTGACCTGATCTTGATTTCAAAGTGGATTATTCTCATCTATACCATCTAGACAGTAGAAGGTTAAGTAGAAAATAGTGCTTGGCAAATGGTAAGTTCATACATTATCATCATTACATCACTGTTATTATCAAATTACTATTTATTTGAAGAAAACAGGAAACACAAGTAAACCCAAGATACAAGCATATGATAATATAGCTGCTTTTACATGGTATATGTGCATTGTAGAGCAGCTACTCAAAGAGATTTAAGGAAAATAACTTGGTTATTCATTTATCCTCATTTCTCTTACTCCCATACTGGACTATTCCTTACTCTTTACTTTCATCCTACTGCTTTTAACGTAACATGTAGATTTTTTTAAAATCTTAAATTATTATTAAAGACATTAAGCATCTGTGATCATTATTTTGGAATTCCTTTAGTTTTCCACTATCCTGTGAACTCAGAGGATAATTATATTGCAAATAGATTTCATTCCCTGATCCCTGCAGTTTAGGAGAAAGGTCAATAAGTATAAAGCAACAAAATATTTGGTATTCTGACTTCCATATCTTGCATTCATGAGGGAGTACACTATATGTAGTAAGCACTAAATAAAAATTCATCAAACCAAGTCATTTCAACCCATATTAGCTACTTTTAAATTAAAACCTATGTACCACCGGTTAAATCCTTCACAGACAAAAATGGTAGAAAAACACCTTGGCTACAGTAACCAAGTAAATAAAATGATAAATACAGTAAATTCAACCACCACACTGATGTTTGCCTGTTGGTTTAAGAACATAAACTCTGAGAGCTCAGACACCAAGTTTGTGTTGCTGACCATTTCTTCTTCCTGCCATGGAAGTAGCAGGCTGTAGGCATTCTATAAATATGAACAGATGACTACAAAATACACTTGTGAGAGTACTTTAATGCCATAATACAATCTACACACATTACTGCCTCATTATTTCTGGACATGTCATTAACAGTACTCTGACAGTACAGTGAAAGCATCATCCTGTATCCAAAATCAGAATCTAAAATATCATTAACCATCATAATCCTAGAGATAAGTGAAAATGCAAAATCCTAATTATGCGTGGAAGTTAAGAAACACGCTCTGACATAAATATCTAATCAGCAATATGCTTGTCATCTACAGCTGTTGCTGTATGTCCTCCCAGGAAGTTGAAGGAAAGACAGGTTCAGATAACTGTTGAAAAGCGTTATCCTTGTTATAGAGCAAGAAAAATAATCAGAGGGAAGGCTGATTTAGCTATATATATATATGATTTGTTTTGTTTTGCTTTTTGAGTCAGAGTCTCCCTCTGTCTTTCAGGCTGGAGTGAAGTGGCATGGTCACGGCCTCAACCTGCTGGGCTCAGGCAATACTTCTGCCTCAGCCTTCCAAGTAGTTGAAACTGCAGGCATGCACAACCATGTCTGGCATTTATTTGTTTGTTTGTTTACTGTGGAGATGAGGTATTACCCAAGTTGCTCAGGCTGGTCTTGAACCCATGGGCTCTGGCAATCCTCTCTCCTCGGCCTCCCAAACTGCTGGGATAACAGGCATGAGCCACCGCACCCGGCACTATATTTTTATATTACAGCTGGCCTTTATACAGTTAAACAACATGGGTTGGAACTGTGCCTACTTCCTTATATACACCTCTGCCACTTCTAAGACAGCAAGAACAAGTCCTTCTCTTCCTCCTTTTCCTCCTCAGCCTGCTCAATGTGAAGACAACAAGATGAAAATCTTTATGATGCTGCACTTCCCCATAATGAATAGTATACAGTATATATATTTTCTCTTCCTTATGCTTTTCTTAATAACCTTACAGACAAAATATGTGTTAACTGACTCTGTAAGCTATTGGTAAGGCTTCTGATCAACAGTAGGCTATTAGTAGTTAAGTTTTGGGGAGTCAAAAGTTATACTCAGATTTCTGACTATGTGAGGATTGGCACCCCTACCTCCTGCATTGTTCAAGGGTCAACTGTATGAAGATATGAGAGAGGACCCAAAAGAACCTGGAATTTATTTATAAAAATTTGTGAATTTATTCTTATATGTTTAAAATTCAGTCACCTTCAAAGTACTCTCTGTTTGATATAATATACCTATTGAGACACTTTTTCTACTGCTCAAAACAGTTTTTGAGCTCGTCAATTTTGATGCCTTTTAGTGCTTCTCTTTATTTCACCTCTTCCACATCAGCAAAACATTTTCCTTTGAGGAGTTTTTTCATTCAAGGAGACAAAAAAAAGTTGCATATGGTGAAAAGAGAGGGTGGGACACCCAGGTCATGTGTTTTTGGCCAAAAACTGCTGAATACTCAGCATAGTATATGTAGATGTGCTCATTTATCACAGATCATGAAATGGGCAAATGCACTGAATCTCCCAAAAAATTCAATGAGGTTGAACGCAGCCTCTTACAACAATAGGTGGTACACTGATGCCCATGGGTTCCTAGAAGACTCACCTAGTGGGGGAAACCTTTACTACAAGGAGATTGCCCTCCAAAAGATAATTACAGGTTTTTTGGGGTTCCCCATTGTGTGTGTGTGTGTGTGTGTATGTAGGTGTGTAGGGATGTGTGCGCATTTCGCAATTGATCTTGCACTATTACAGTGTGGAACATACTGGAATAAGTGTAATTAAGGAATTTTTCAAAATGTAAATTACAGTAAATCTGGAAGAAAACAATTTATTCAAGAAACTCCATCTTACTCATTGTTCTGATATGCCCCAGCTGCTCCTTCCCAGGATCCTTTGCCTGACCATCCTCTTCCAGACCTTTAAATATTTGGTGGCCCTGGGACTGCATCATCAACTCTCTTTTCAATCTACACGCTTTCTCCTAGGTGAACCCATTCAGTTCCTTGGCAAAATAACATCAAAATGGTGATGACTCCCAAAGGTATATCTCCAGGTATAAGCTCTTCACTTAATTCCAGACTTGCATTTCCAACAGCCTACTCACTAGCCTTACTTTGCTATCAAAGAGACAACTCCAGGTTACCATTTCCAAAACCAAATTCTTGATCTACTTACCTAAACTTACGATAACTTACCACTATTCTCCAAGTATTTGTTATCCAAAAACAAAAAACAAAAAAAAATTGCCATCATTCATCTAATTGCTCAGGTCAAAAACTCTGGGGTCATTCTTGACTCTTGCAATCATCTAATCTATCAACCCATCCTGGTAGCCCTACCTTCCCAAGATAGCCAATCACTCTTTAACACTATGTTCTCAGGTAAGCCATCTTTTGCCTGGCTTCTGCAGCAGGAGCTTAACTAGATACCCACTTTCATGCTTATACCCCAGAAGTTTATTCAACTGGAGTTGGAGTAATCCTTTAAAAACAAAAATCAGATCATTCCATTTCCCAGCTCTTAGACCGAGAAGCTTCACATTGTACTTAAAATAAAATGCAAATCTTTACATAGTATGACCTATAAGATCCCATATGACCTGGCTTGGAGATACCTCTGAAATAATTTCTTCCAGTCCTCTCAGTCACACAAATCTCCCCAGCCACCACAGGCTCCTTGCAGAACTTTAACATGCCAAACACAACACTTTCTTAGGGTCTTCAAACATTCTTGACCCTATGCCTAGAACACTGCCTGGACTGCTCTATGGTTTACTTCTTCACTTTACACACATCTTTCATAAAAAACACCTTCTCAAATTAGCTGGGCATGGTGGTATATTCCTGTAGTCACAGCTACTCAGGAGGCCGAGGTGGGAGGATTGCCTGAGCCCAAAAGCTTGAGGTTGTGGTGAGCTGTGATTGTGCTACACTCCAACCCGGGACCCAGAATGAGAATCTGAGTCAAAAACAAACAAAATAAAATAAAATAACACCTTCTTTTATAATGCTAGCTAACACAAAATGCCATTCCATCAGACTCTCTTTTTACCATTTTACTTCATAGAATTCGAAATTGATAGACACAATAGGACATAGTTATTTATTATCTGCTTACACTGCTTCCCCCACTAGTGTACACTCTTCATGAGGGCAGCTATCTTGCCTGTTTTGTCATCTCTGTATCTTCAATAACTTTAACAGTCTCTGATGCACAGTAGCTGATTAATAGTCACTGAAAAGCTAAATATATTCAAGGATTCAAGTTTTAGTCATGCATGACCCACATGCTTAGATAATCCAGGAAATTATATTTATCTACCACAGTCCTACACCGAATATATATCTACAATTACCAAACTGCTCTTAATACTTAACATGAATGTCCTAAAGGAATATAGATTTATAGAAAAGTACAATAATTGATCACAATGACTTTGTCATTAAAAATATAAAAACATGTAAACTTCATTGGTGTAAACTTTCTACAAAGAAAAAGTCATATATATATATATATATATACACTATATATACTTACAGATTATTAATATCAATATGACTCAGAAAATTTGTAAAATGTTTTAAAATAACAGTTTCTCTCCCAAGAGAATAACCAAAATATCTCACTCCCCAAAGTTGTTGAGATAAAAAGTAAAACGCAAAAAGGTACTTACCTCCCTTTTTCTACCAAGAGTAAGACATCCAATTTTTCCCCATTTTGAACCATTGTGCTGATTGCTGAAGGAAGAAGAGAAAGGCATAAACTTATTTTTTAAAATATTACACTAAATATACATAAAGACACAATTATTAATACCACTGAAGCTTGTGTTTGGGAGTAAGCCATCATCATTTTACTAAAAGCTACCATTATGGTATACAATAAAGACTTGTGTTCCAAAGGTAAGAGTGAAGAAAAAAAATCTTACTTAGTTCTTGCAGTCTTCTTAAGTGCATTCTATCTTCCTGAATTTCTTGTATTTGAAGGCAAAAATGCAAACTAGACTTGTCCATAGCAAACCAGCCTTTTCTCCACTGATCCAGAGCATGGCAGTCTTTGTAGAAGAGTTGGCCAATCAAATTATAGTCAGCTTCTGTTAAGTTTTCAGCAAATAAGGGAACAAAATGCTGTTAAAACAAATACAAAAAAAAAGTAATAAAGACAGTGAAAATAGAAAGTCCCTTCCCTATCTATACATAAGAGAAAAGGTAGAAAAATTATCTTACTTTTTCTATTGTAAAGATTCATAAGTAACACCAAATTCAAAACAATCATTTAAACTTGCCATTAGGCTTAAAACTGAACATTTATCATGCATTTTTTAAATGGCAGCATCTTAAACCATTATTCTTGCTATATAGAGAGTTGAAATTGGAAGATGTTTTCTTAATTGGTTTGTGGCACTTTTCAAAATGGCAATCTTCACTGTTTTTCTCCAAGTATGTCTTTTATTGAATCTGTTCCTTTCCCCTTTGAGTGTACCCTGAATAAGATATCTACTTACAAAAGACAAACACAAAGAAGATTTTATAATATTGAAAATACTATAATCATCATAAATATAGCCTTAACTTGAAGAATGATTTCTCCAAGGTACTACATTAATTTCTTCCCTGCTTCAGGGTCTAGGAAAGTATCTCTTAATTTCATTTGAAACAATCTTTGAAAGCCTACTGAAATACGAACTTTCTTCCCAGAATTTTATGTAAAATTTTCATGGACCCCTGAAGCTCAATCACAGACTCCAGCATAAGAATCTTCTCTGGATTTAGGGTAACAACATTTAAATACCTTGGCTATTGCCTCTGTCCATTTTCTTTGAGCTTGAGATGTTTCTGCTCCAAATAAAAATACACGTTCTGAGGGTAAGTAGATCTCAAAGATAAAGATGGGCCTACAGCACGCAAAAATACAAAGATATCACTAGTTATGGTGTGCTCTTATGAAAACAATACAGAGGTCAAGTTTTCAATTAAATTTCTTTTTAAAGTGAAATAATGCTGTGAAATCAACCTATCAGTTTTTTTCTGTTAATAGTCTGTATTTTATTCAAATGAGCTAAATGGGACACATTGGCTCAGACAAAAGGAATATTTTTCTAATCACTTAGTCACTTACTGCATGACTTTGTTGATACTCTGGACATTCTGTTGACTGATGTGGCAAAGGGCCCTCCTCAGTCTCCTCTTTCCTCTCAGATCACTCCTGCTTAATTTACGTGACCAGTTGTTGAAAACAAACATTGTCCAAACAACTCTTAGCCCTCTTGCTATCTAACTTCAGACCCTCCCAGTCACAACAGGTTTCTTGCAGCACCTGAACATGCCAAGCACAACACTCTCTTGGGGTTTTCCTAAGAGAGACACATTTTCCTTTTGTCATCTCAGCTGATCCTGAAATTTCATATCCTTACTACAGATAAAATTAGAGTAACAATCTATGCTCTGAATTCTTTCCAGAGTTCCTCATCCACAACTCCAACTATTTCTTAGAACATGCTAAGTATATGTGCTTTTACCTAAAAACAACAACAAAAAAATAGACAGTAAAAAAAGAAAAGAAAATTCCTTCCCTATCTGCACACAAGTAGAAAAATTATCAAAATATCCTATGCCAAAATCATCTTTCTTTTTCCTCTTTTTCACCACACGCCTGTTGTTTCCTCTTCATGTTCTAATTTAGAGGCATCACCATTTACTTTATCAACAAGCTTCAAACCTCAGAGTGTAATTTATCCTTCCCCTTAACATCAACTCTCCAGTTAGCCAATCTTTTAATCTCATCAATTCAACAACCATAAGATTCTCTCAATCTACTATTCTCTTTTTCTTTTTAGTCATCTCTTCCTCTAATTTCACTCTCAGCGATTGTGGTCTCTCTTCCTCCAATCTCCTCCTTACCACTTCTTCTAGCTCTCTTCCTAAAATATAAACCTATATAATGCCTCAATATCTACATTATTGAGTTCATACTCTACAATAATATGCTGTTTAAGACAATTCAAAATTTGGTGGCAACAATTATTTTTAACCTCATTTTCCTGTAATTGTTATTTCTTGCACTTCCATTTGTATTGGAAACATTCCATCAAGATTGTCTTATCTTCAAATACATTAATATGCTGACACAAACTAGTATTAATTCAAGTTGTATTTTATTTACTAATTAAGTAACTTAAAACATAGAATGCACTCATTTTAACAGTCCATAATAAGCCACATCTGATCATCCATGTAGAATAAAAGCACTATTAGGATTAAAGCAAATTAATTAGTAACCAGTTTTGCTCCCAACAAAAATCAAATTGGATTTACTAGAAAACAATAGTCATCCCAACTAGTGCATATTGGTCATTATGTAATAATGGCAATATGTTCCATGTAATTTTATGTAAATAACAGCTTTGTAAATCCCTTCCCTTTCTCATATAAAAAAGCTTATGAAAATATGCTCCTGTAAGACTGATTTTTTCAGATTTAATATTAATACTTTTCCATTAATTACATCACAAAATATGATAAGAAGCTTTCACACCAAAAATCTTAGATGGCCTGTTGTAAAAGCCCTCAGAGAAATTCATTTAAACTATAGCATTATTTAAGTAAAATATACAGTATAGCCGGGCTCGGTGGCTCAGCCTGTAATCCCGCACCTTTGGGAGGCTGAGGTGAGTGGATTGCCTGAACCCGTGGGTTCGAGACCTGCCTGG